GAGGGCCGCGCGACGCGGCCGCCATGAGGGCAGGGGTGAGCGGCGGCCCCGCAGAGTTTCGCTGTTGTGCTCTGCATGAGGGAGTGGGGAAATGAGGGATGAGATGAGGTGGAGAACGGGGGTGTCTGGGTGTGTGCAGCGGTGTGGCAGACAGGTGTTTATTTCTAGATGTACCACGATCAGAGCATGAGCAGAACCGTGGCTTGCGCACTGGTCACTAACGAGCGCTTCCTGCCACCCCTTCCATTAGCTGTATTGCTACTTTCCCGTTCCTTTGTAAATCATAACGTTCTACAGAAGGAAAAGATTCCGAATGAAAATCCCTTGCATTGTAGAGCAATAATGTTGCCTGTATTTTGTGAATTCGTCTGCTGAAACCTCAGCATCTGGTTTATACAAATTTGCGCTGGAACTTGTTTCTTTAAACCGCTTTGGAACTGAGTTTGCCCTGGACTGTTTTGATGTGCGTAAAGTCCAGTTTGCCGTGTAAGATCTCACAGAGTTGTTGGTTTGGTTTTGGTTGGTTTTTTTTTTCAGAACTGCCCTGGCATGGGAAGGTGAGTAAATAATAAACTCAGATTAAAGGTTCGTGTGATACAGTGTCCTGGTTCCGCTGTGATCAATAACCAGGGTCGGGAATAGTGCGAGGCAGAACAGTTGTTTGCAGCATTCAAACACTTAAACCTCATATATCATACCTAAATATGGTATTTAATAAATCAATGTGGGGATAAGAGAAGTCTCCCTTCCCTTTTCCTTTATTTTTAATCCTGTGTTCTTCCTATAAAGTCCAGCATTTCAGTTCATAAGTAGTGTTATTAATGGATAATTAACTTTCTTGGCTGATAACAATGAACTGTTACATAGCACCACGTGTTTAGCAGTGCCATTTTCTTTGACTGTCCTTTATAATTTGTACCTTGTGTGAGTGCCTCACTGATCACTGGTGTTCCCCAAATTTGATGTCACTTCCTACAACACCCCTGATCTTCTGCTAGCTCAGTATTCTAATTTCAGAATCCAACTTATCCCCCTTTTTTTGGTAAAAGTTCTCATGTTTGCATGCAAGGACATTTACTTTTAGCTTTTTATTTTCCTGTGTCAGACGTAAGTGAGTGTTTCCTGACCCCTAGGTAAACTTAGCCAACTGATCTTGTTAATAGGTATCAGCTACATATTAACATATTTAGTAGGCATTTTAGTGCAGAAGATACACAAGAACTGCTTTGTAAGAATAGATGAACGTTAGATACCTCATGTACAGTGGGACTATACTCATAGCTGAATACATGTTTCCAAGATTGGGGTTGAAGACTGGAAGGAAATCTTGCCTGAAACATCTTAATTAAACTAAGTGAAATATTTTTCTTTTCTTTCACACATTGAGGAAAGCTGGGTATGTTAATAAGTGGCTACATTATTACCCTGAAATATTTGAAATTGTAGGAAATACTTGACAGTTGCAGTGGTAAACTTGTGTATGTGTATCAACTGCAAGCTACTCATTATTGCACAATAAAGGCAGTGACTTATACAAGAAGTATGTCATCTTGTTTTTGTTCACATCTCCCTTTCTTGCCCTTGTCTTTACAACCACAGACACCATTACCTTTTATCTTGGTCTTTAATAAAGATAAGCTTGATAATTTGTACTGATGAAAAATAATAAAACAGCTCTTTCTTCACAAGAAACTGGACCTAATAGTGTGGGCACTACACAACAGGAAATATTAATGTTGGGGAAAGAATGATTATCTTTCATTCATATAGGTATCATAAAATGTGGCTTCCATATTGTAAAGTGTGACAAGTTTATAGATTTTCTGAATTGGGCTTTCTTAGAGCTTTTAATCAGCCAATATCAGTGATGGCAAATAGGTATCACCTCATTTTCTAAGATGTGAAACACAAAAATGTCAACAAAATTGCAGGAGAGCTACAGCCACTGTACTGCACTTGGCCTGGAGAACACACATGAGCACTGGGTGAATTGTTGCGTTCCTGTAGCATGTGGGTCCTGGGGAGGGACAGCACTGTAAGAAATGACAGGGTGTCCACGGGATCCTGGGCAAAGAGATACCAACACCTGTTTCTACCTTGACACTTTTTCACAGTGTGATTAAAATATTAAACTGCTCTAGGTGGGGGCTGAAAATGAAACACGTATTTTTCAGAGATTACACAGTAGTAACTAAGCCTGGATCTAAGGCCCTGTGCAATGAGGCTGTGGAAATGAAAGTCTGGAGTGAAAATCAATAGGCATGAGGATGCAAGAGGAACACATGCAGTTAGCAACAGTGATTGCTAACTCTTGAGACGTAGCATTTAAAAGGGCTCTTAAAAGGCTCTTGAAAAAAAATCAGCTGCTTTGACATGCACAAAAAAAGAAAAAAGTAGAATTATTCACCTTGATTATCAGTTCTGTGACTGTCTATTCATTTTGGGAGCAGCTTCAGAATTAGCTGTGGAAAGCAGAAAAAAAATATTAAAAATTTGGTCATTTGATTCACCAGCAAGAGGATTCTCTTATGTCACCTATCTTTTCTTAGCTGCATCTTTTATTCTTTTTGTCTACTCAGGCTACTGTGCTGAACAAATAACATGGGCCTGAAAAAAAGAAGTTTTGTTCATCTGCCTTGTGACTTCTGCTGTCATTTTGCCATTTTAGATCTCTAAGGCAGTATTAAGGTGATAGATGTGAAGAAAAGGCAATGTGCAGGCACACTTGTGAGTAGCACATCCTTCAGTTTGCGAATACTCAACATTTAAAATGTACCAGCAAGTGGAAGCTGTGGCTACGGAAGGGCAAGGATAGGCCTGTCGGGGAGTGCTGCGCTTTCGGCTGCTCGCAGTGAAACCCAGCACTTTCCCCAGTGGGATCACGGCTGAATGAACTCCTCCGCCCGCTGCACCGCAGGTGGAACCTCAAACTCTCGGAGGTCACCGGGGAAGCGGCGGCTGCTCCTCTCCAGCACAGATTAAGAACTACTCGGCGGGGCAGGAGGGAGAGCAGCCAAGTGCACGTTTGGATCTGTCGTGTCCTTACAGGGCGGCACCTACGCCCTTTCTGTAGGATCTTGTTACTCCAGCGATCCTCAGTTAGAGAAACCCGCAGAAATAAGGGGCAGGATCTTCCTTCTTTTGTGGCCTGCGAAGCGGGAAAGTAGCCGGACTCCTGCTCGGAGCGGCGGCCAGTGGCGCTACCTCCGAGGGATCGGGATGGGGATACCGCCGGCAGGGAGGGAGGGTCCGTACGCTGCCCTCCTCCCGCGGCGGCGGCGGCGGCGGGGCCG